ATGGGCTATGAGAGGAAGAAGTGTAGTAGAGATAGAAGAAGAAAGAGGAGCCGAAGGACTTGACTGAGGTAACTCGCAGCACTGTTTCTAGAGAGGTTTCATTGATGAGCCACTGGAGGGGCCAAGCTTAAAACCGGGCATGTATAGCGAAGAATGTTCCAGCTTTTGTAACGTCGTCGGAGAACTTCGTCGGAATGCAGCTCCCCTCCTTACCTAGGTGCCCGGCTTTAGTTCCGTACAAAACGTAGGAAAGGGTGTATCGGGTCCTCTAACATAGTTGGTTATTTATTGGGCTAGCCTGCACATTCTTGATTTTATTTATTTATTCATTTATTTATTTGTTGATTTATTTTTATTTATTTTGTTTATTTGTTTATTTATTTATACTGTTAGCCTAAGGCTGATACAGGGTGGAGTACTAAATACTCTTCACACATTGTTCAAAGACACAAGCAATACACAGTGAAATCAAGACAGACAATTCATCTGACAGCTTTAAACAAAACTACACCATACAGACCATGCAAATCGCTATGCAAACGAAAAGCAACTCTTACCAAAAGTACAACGCACAAAAGTACTCAAGTTTTACACAGTAGTGACCAACATTGAGCAGAAAGCAGCACAATCGCAGACACCACACTCAACCTATACTATTCCACATGCTCGAAGACTATAAAAAAACAAAACCAGGACCTTTTTTTATTATTATCTATAGTTATTGTAACTGATGTCAAACCATACAAACCGCATTTCACTGAAAAAAAAAGAAGCTAATAAGGTTTATATGCGATTACCTGGAAGAATAATAGGCCAGTGCAAGTTTTTCGTATTTCTTTGAAGGGTTAATATTTGTTATTTTATGCGGTATCACGTTCCACCCTTCAATTGTTTTCGGGAAGAGGGAGTATTTAAAGGTGCCAATCTTTGCAGGTATAGGCACAAATTGATCTGGATTGCTCGACCTGACAGATTGTGAAATATGTGACATTCTGTTTTGTATGTATCTGTGAGGGTTAAAGTTGAAGAAACCATGTTTTATCGAGTGATTGAATTTTAGTCTAGCCACTTTTCACCGCAATGAAAGCTCAGGTAAGTTTAGTTGAGTGGGCATTTCGGTCACTGATTCTGTGTACCTATATTTCGACATATTTCGAAGCCAAGCTAATCTTCTTCTACTTGTAACAAGGCTAAAGTTAAGCGGCTGTGCTTGTTTCATAAGTTTTACCATTCACGCATTGCTACGACAGTCATTGAAGAAGTTCATCGTCACTCTGACCGCATCAACCATCCATTGGCTGTTTATCCAGGAAAGGCCCTCACCTCTGCCCATCACATTATTTTTTTTATCGAAACAGCAAAAGACTGGAATGATCTGCCAACAGACGCTGTTGTCATCTCCAGCCCAATCCATTTTAACGAAGAAATCGAAGACATTATGTACTAAATATCTTTACTGACCACCAATGACATTGTTCGCAATAAATGCCCATCCCTCAAGTAAAACCCTTGAATAGGGGTATGTGAGGTATAATAAATAAAATAATAATAATAAATCTTACTTCTCGTCTCTGCATTTTTTCAATTTTTTCATTTTGTTCATTATATACGGATCCCATATTATGCTACATTATTCAAGTGCGGGTCGTATCAAAGTCGTGTATGAAATAAGTTTAACATCTCGAGAGGCAAATTTTAGCTTGCGTCGTAGTGTCCAAAGCAAAATTTCCGCGGTAATACATAAATTAAAAATATGCTTTTCCTAAGCTAAGTCATCAGACATTGTAATGCCTAAATACTTGAAGCGCCTCACTTGTGTTAATGGCTTACCATCTAGCTTGTAATTATAAACTAACACATTTTTTGTTTCCTAGTTATGTGCGCATATACTGTTTTCTCGTGGTTTCTTTTCATTTTTCATTGTGCGCACCAATCAGTAATCGATTGTAGTGCTAAAGCTAACTCTAACTGATCTTCATGACATGATATTTTAGAATATATCAGGCAATTGTCAGCAAATAGGCGAACAGTGATCTTGCTGCTAGGGTAATCTGTAATGTCATTATTATAACAAAGAAATAAAACAGTTCCTAATACCGACCCTTGAGAGACGCCGGATGTTACATTTAAAGTTTTCAATTTCTTCCCTTCGATCTCCACGTATTGCGTCCTATTAGTTAGATATGATTGAATCCACTTAACTATATTTAAATTAACTCCGGGACCAAGTAGTTTACCAAGACAAATATGAGTGCGAGACGCGGTCGAAAGCATGCGATAAGTCTAAGCAAATTCCATCGATCTGACCTAAGGTGCTTCACGCCCAATACAGCACAGGGACAAGCGTTTCCCGGAAAGGAAACCCTGTACGCGCCCCTGGGTGCTTGCTTTCATCCAATGGCGTCCTCTGCGAATACGTCGAGACGCGGTAGTCGTCGGGATCTGATGACAAGATACGCTGCTCTGCGTAGTCGCTACTACAGTCGAGGGAGAACTCGAATTTCGCTTCACCTCGCAAAACTTTGGCGCTCAAGCGCGTTTAGGCTGTTTATTATGTTTTCTGAATGAAGCTGTTTTCGGGACAGAGCCACCGTTCGCGCAAATAGGACGCCATTTGAAATTGTTTTTTAACTGAAATGCATGTTTTCAGCACTTAAAGAAACATTTTATTGTGCCATCAGCTGAAGCCAAAGATAAAAACAGCTAAATCAAACAAGGTGGTTGAACCGTGGCATCCCTAATGCTCGTTTCAAGGTTGGACGAACTCTGCTCGTCTTCGACGGGGAAAAAAAGGCTGAGTGGTAGAAGACGCGTTCTTCGTTCGAATGTAAAAAGAAAGCAAAACAAGAAACCCCGATCTTACTAAGTGATGTCGAAAGACAAGATTCCCATGAAAGGCAGCTTTAATCTGCCACATATTTATCACTAAATATCTCTTACAGTACAGCAGCAGTCACGGAAGGAAATGCTTAGTCGTCCTCGGTATAGAATAATCAAAACTTTCTGATAAATGTTGTCGCAAAAAATCACGCGCTTGCGTTATCAAGAAAACCTGCAAAAAACCTCTTCAATGAAAAAAAGAAAAGCTTGCACTTGACCACGCAAAATTTATTAACAGTGAAGTTGGTCGATTCAAGTAGGACGTTTTACCCACTAATACTACGACACTGGGCGAAGACTAGGTTTCAAACTTGGCCTGAGCAAGGCTAATTTTCAGCTGCCTGCTTATTCTCGCGCCGAGTGCAATCCGGATTTTTTGTTTCGTGTCAGCCGTCTGTTCACTATGCCGGATCGCCGCAACTAATCTCGTTGTCGCTCTGCAGGACGTCGAACGTCGGGACAGGCAGCATCTTCTTCCGGAGCACAGTTCTTCCTTGAATGATCCGTGGCTGAAAATTGCCCAGGCACGACCAAGTGGAGCTCACTTATAACGATTCCGCGGACGTGGGCATTGCGCAGTACGTCAATTTATGACGTATTTAATGACGTAAATGGCTGCTACGAAACCCTTTTATTTAGGCTTGGCGCGGTTATATTAAACCCCGTATTCACAAACGCTCTTCGACTCGACTTTTACCTTTCACTTGACAGAGTTGAGCACTGCGCCGCTGCTCGGCTGAAAGTGACACTGCGCTACCCAGAAATCGCAGCAGATTATCGCTGATATGCAGCGACTTTCCCTGCCTAGAGACGGCGCTCCCATCGCCCCTCTCCAGTGAAGGTGAAGCGTTGAGTGGAGGCACGTTCTAGAATACAGGGGTAAGTCATTTCGGTAGCATCAACACGGATCCTCCGCAATCGCTGCTATGGTGCATGCCCGGCGTCTTACGACATCCCATCAGCCATCGTGGTAGACAGGCGCCGTATGCACACCGGATTCCGTTGGCGAACGTGGCTCTGCAGCAGTGTCTCAGTTATTACTTCTCCGGAGCATAAGCGACTTGGGAAAGCTTTGTAAGCTTTACCTTGTGTAACCGTCACCTTCTATACCTTAATTACAGTATTGTAGAAAAGCCAATCCATCTTTTTGTTTCTGTTCTTTGTGCTTAAACAAAGGTTAGTATCAGAAGTTTTACGTGTCATAAGCACGGTATAATTATGACGCGCGCTGCAGTGGAGGGTTTCTGAAATATCGACTACTTGGGGCTCTTGCACTGACATCGCATACGACACGAGTCTCTAGCCTTTCCTGTCCATCGAAATGCGACCCCTGCGGTCGATCTTGCGATAATCGTGACAGCAGCTGAGCACCGTAACCCCCACAACACCGCAGCGGGCACTTTGCATAAACTGCTGTAACCTGTGTTTTCTATGCATAGTTTGAAAAGGGCGTTTCGCTATGGTGCTGGGGACCTGTCCCCTGATTTGTGAACCGCGTTGCGACGGTTGTTAGTATGAATACATAGTAGGAAACAAAGTGCACAGACTCGTCGCTGTGGAGTATTCAATGCTTCTAGTGGATGAATAGATGAATCACAGGTTCATTTGCCAGTTGGCATGAGGAAAACGATACACCTAATGTCTTCGCCGTTGAGGAAGAATTGTGGACGCTGAAGCGGGTGCTTGCTGACAGTCGATTTGAACCCTTTCGGCGCGGTCATTTAAGTTTCTCTGAAGGTCATGTTAGCGGACGGGTAGCTAGGGGTCCACAGCGTAAGTGATGGCGTACAATTGAGGCGAACGAAAAAGGGTGAGAGGGGACGAAGCAATGACATCCAAAGTGAACTGTTCACTGGGCAGAGAGGGCACATACGAAAAAAACTACAAACGTGATTCTGATGTGCTTAAACTAGGGCTATTCGCGTGTGCTTTTTTTCTCTTGCTTGTTTTCTGCATTTCTCAAATTCACCCATTAATAATATGCTGTTTCAAATCGGGATATCGTTGTATCTCGCTTACTTTGTTGTGTCTCGACCGCTTCGTTTCCGTTTTAGAGTGTCGTTTTGCTATAGCGATGCCATACGTCATACACTAGGGTGTGTGTTTAGGTTCGCGCTCACCATCCGCAGGACGCTCCTCTTGAAGGTGAACGCGAGGAATATGAATGCTCCCTGTAGACTGCACAGCACGATGAACGGGTACCAGAGTGCCTGCACTCCGGTCAAAGCAGCCGCAAAACCAAACACCCACGTCAGTCCGAACACCACTGCCAGCTTTGCGTAGAGTGCCAGGCGACCTCGCTCCCCGCTGGCTCCTGCAGTGGACGCTGACCTTCTGGCCACCTTGGTCTGCGAAACAGCAGTAAGAAGATAGCATAACTTGCGTTGTTCAGTTAGCTGGTGCGTGACTGCGAATGCAAAAGCGCTGAAGACAAGACAGACACGGCGCCAACTTAAAAGTTTAATTCGCGTGAAGATGTCTTCTTATACATTTAGACAGAAAAGAATACATGGAGAACAGAATAAATAATGCTATAATAAAAGGTAAGCTTTTTCACTGTCCCCCGGCACTGCAGCTGAGGTCTTGGAAATTCATTGTAGTGTGACCCCATGTATCAATGATCCATCTGTGGTACAAAGCTTGGAAACAGAGGGTGTTCAGTGATATTGAAAATTTATAGAGACAGTGTTTAAGCTAACTCCATTCATTGGGGTCACCCGTTCAGGTCTTTTTTCACAAGTCTGAAGTGGTGAGATTGGTTTCGAAGAGAGTTGGCGAGGGAACGTTGGCATTGTTTGCTGTATGCAAACTATATTTGATATTGAACGTTGGGGATTAGAAGGGGTGGAGTATGCTATTATATTTAGTCGCTGACAGCTCTTGAATTGTCGCTAGTGGTGATTACCAATTTATTTAGCAGTGCTCATGGTTACTGAACCGCTGCTGACCACCTTACATCGCTGAGTGCAGAGGACATTGTTTCACACACACGTCAAGGCCTCAAGCTCATTGGCTAGCCATACTAAAGCGGCGTGCCCGACTGTTGTTCTTATGTTGTCTGAAGTAGACTGCTGTTTTGTCGTTCGTAAGTCTGAATTGGCCTGCACTGATGAAAAATCGGCAATGCTCTCTGACTGTAAAATTTCGTTGTGTTTCTCTAATGTGAAATTGACATAACAAAATTATGCGAACTATTGTTGGTAACCGCACACAGTGCTACTCTTACAGGAACTCATCTGAATTCTAACGAATGATATTTTCAACACGATAACAAATGATATTTTCAAACTACCTGCCTATTCAATTCTCGCACTCTGGCGAAAATGTCATGACATATCAAGTTGTGCTAGATTAGACTAAAAGCAGCAGCACAAGAAACGCAGTACAAGACGCCACCCAACCTGTTTAGTGGTGAGGTGAATGCTACGTGCTGTCAGGAGGAAGAATACGGTGTTGGCGAGCAGCAACACGAGCACGGGTGCCCCGAAAAAGGCGATCAGGCTGAGCGGCCGATTTATCCAGCAGTAGGGCAGGCCGTACGAAGGGCTCCACCCGGAGTCCGGCTTGAGATACTGCAGCGTCGACGCCGCCGCCACGAGCAGCGCCGGCGCGAGCCACGCGTACACCGAGTACGACCAGAAACGGCTGGCAGCGCGGGAACTACCGCTCACGCCTCTGCGAAACGTTCGTTGCACGTCCATTGCCATGACGTTCATCCAAAAGAAAGCGGCGAGGTGAGTGCCATGGGACACAACGGCGAACGCATGGCACAACACCGAGCCGGACTCGAAGAATAGTCCGCCGGCCACGAAACTACCTTGCGCCAAGAGTACGGAGATCGCCAGGCACAGCACCAGCCGAGAAGGACCGGTTCGAAGCTTTGGGACCAGTACGTACGCTACCACGTGAAGCACGAGACACAACACCGAGAATAAAAGCAAGGCGGTGGACAGAACGTTCTCGAAGCCCTCTGGCCTGAGAGCCGCGTTGCGGTCCCCCTGTTCGAGAGAAATGCAGGCCATCACGGAGTCCGGCCCGTCCATGTGCCAGCGGTCCGGCCTCAGCTCCTCTTCAGAGCCGGAGTTCGGAAGGAGGGTCGAGTTGTCACGCACAACGACTTGGTCGCGTCGTAGGCGAGTCCACTGGCAATCGTCGCGGCGAACGCAGACGTCCGTAGGGCAGGCGGATCGCACGCAGCGGTTCGACACCGGTTCGTGAATCTCGTCGCGGCCACAGACGTTCTTCGAAGGCGCCGCCGACAAGACTGACGCCTGCCAGTTGCTGAAGTCCATGACGACGGCATAGGAGGCGCCCGAGTAATCCCGGACTGCTGGTCCCAGCAGGGCCTTGAAGCTACAGCTCAGGTTGTTTGGATTGCGTTTGTTGCAGATGGCGCAGTGGAGATTTTTGTACATGCGCAAGTTAACGCGGTCCTCTAGCACACTCGTGTAGCTGCGGCACTTTTGAATTACCTCCGCAATGTTGTAGCTACTGGGGCAAGTCTTGACCAGAGGAACCTGGGTGCATGGAGTAACTTTCAGTTCGCGGATGACGTATTCGTCCGTTTTGTCGACCAATTCCTTGATCGCCACCGTGCAGCTTGGGCTTTTTACGGTGGCACCTTCCCACTGAACGGTCATCTTGCGCGTTCTCCAGTGATATCCCGTTACGATGGCGGTGCCATTTTGGAGAGCCTGTGAAAAAGTAAAAAGGAAGTCATTCAACGAAGTCACTGGACCTTCTAAGCAGTGTACGATTCGGCTGCATAAGGTTCCAGAAAGAATAGAATGACATAGTGCATAAGCAAGTATTGAAAATAATTCTGCTTCTAAACGTGGTGCCATTCTGTTTAACTCGTTTTGCATGGTGCGCCTTCGTTCCACTGTAATACTGCAGTCTGTATTCCCACCTTGCATTGAACTGGTTGAAGACAGGCTCTCACAAATTTTCTGCGGCTCTTAAAGATGTAGTGAAGCAATTTTCGGGCGCGAAAACACAGGAGGAGGAAAATGTAGCAATGAAATATGGAGCAGAGAATAGCGCATCAACTTGACCAAGAAAACATTATTGTGTGGTGCTAAGCTTCTGAGGTGAGTTTTGTTTGGCCTGTAGATAACAATGCACATATTCAGTCTCCTTTTGAGTAGCAGCTCCTTTGACCACACTGGAAGAAAAGATTGTAAACGCATTGACTGCAAAAGCAAAGAAAGAAAAACCCAAAAGCGCACTGTCAGAATGAAACAAAAAGCCTGTGCTCAAGATTTACACACAAAAAAACAAAACAAACAGAACTCAACAGTTTGACGTCCGAAATTTTAGACAACAATAAAGCAGCTATAAAAACTACTTACGTGAAGTGTCCTAAGTTTGTCGAATGTAATCCTGAGAATACCAGACAACATTATTGCTGAAAGCTATCAGGTTTGTGAACGGTGTAACAAGAAAAAAAAACTCTGGTTAACATATTAAGTCATTGCTTACGCTTAATTTTCACAGCAGAGAACGGCTTTATAACAAGCAAGCTCCGCATAGCTTGAAGGTGGAACCACTAGACGTAACTAAAAAAGCGGTGATAGCATGTACGTACTATCAAGCGAGCCAGCTTTTGATGTCCGTGAAACTTGCGTTATGCCGCCGTGGTTTAGAATAGCATGGCCTTCAGGGTGGGTAATATTCTGACAGAGGCCACAATAATCCACACGTGCGTGTTGCTATAATTTTACTGAAGTGATTAGCAAACAAACAAACAAAAACATTATCCAGCTTCGCGATAGCGAGGCCACACCTGAAAGAAGGACAGAGCTGGCCTTCTCTATTTGTGTTTCCTAAAAAAAAAAACAATGGCGTGCGCACACTCTGTGGGATTGGCCTAGAAGGAGTAGTTGAAAATTGGAGAGGGAATTCGAAATTGTTACGTGATTTTAAAAAAAAGGTAATGATACACAATGAATTAAGACTACAAGTACAATGTTTTTGAGCTCGTGTATCAGACTGCCGTAAAAACCTGAGCAAAACAGTTCAGAAGAGATTAGTTATGTTTTACCAAAATTTAAAAACGTCAATTTTTTGTTTCCTTGTCTTCCTCTTCTTCTTTGTTGTCAACAGTGTTTTCTGCCATTTTGTCTTTTTATTTCTTTTTTTATTTATCTTTTTCCTATTTTACCAGTTTCTTTCTCTCTCTCTTTCTCTCGGGCTTCCTTTGTATTCACGTGGTTTTAATTAGTATGCTCTGCACCTAATTAACATCAAGCCTCAGAAGAGGAATAAACTTCTTTTTTGCCGCCAGCGATGTCTGCGTTACGCCAGCATACCACTGCCCCCACAGCTGCCAAAGGCCCGGCGCTTAGTAGTAGAAATAAAGAAGGACTAAGGACTGTAACCTATACTACACGCAACAGAAATCAATAGCAACAGGAAAGTGAGCAGTGGGCCTCCTTGCCTCCGTGTACCTTCGTGTTTCGACATTGATGCCATGCTTTATTATTATTTCTTCAAATGCGTCAACGCGGGCTGCGGTCATTGTACTGTGAACACATAGGCCTGCCTCGTGCATCAGGCATCTTATGAAAGGTGGACGAAGACCGAAAGAAGGCGAGGATGGTCTTGGCGGAGGTGTAAGGCCTCTCAATTTCAACATACGTGACTTTTGTGGTGGCACTTGCGCGGACATGGCCTTAAAATATATCCCCAACACCTCCGCAATAATAAAATCATAACAAGACCATGGTTCTGAAATTCCGAGGCCTTGATTCCTTGCCAGAAAGCGCTTTTTTGTTACTTTCACCTCAGTGCTCCGGTGTCAAGCAAAAAAACCATACTAAAGAACTAGGAGACACTTAAGATGCGTCTGCAAGAGTTGAACGCGATAGCGAAATCCGGCCCCTAGTGCACCCTTCAAGCGTTAAGTGCATACTTATTCATATGTTTTGTTACATACACACGCACGCACACAAACACGCACACAGTAGATTGGACCAGCGCGCGCTATTATCGCCGAATGGTCTCGTTTTCGTCGTGACACCTGTCGAAAAAAATGCGTTAAAGGGGCCCCGAAACACTTGTTTCAAGTAACCATGCAATGAATTCACTAGAAGAGCTTATTGTCTCACAAATTTAACGCCACGGAAATTTCAAGAATCTGTCCAGTGCGAGTGGAGTTACAAAGTTTTGTCACATGCTGCAATTGCTTTCTCTCTTCTCTCGTCCCGACGAAAGCGCTGGAGGCTAAGCAGGAAGGGGTGGCAGGGCAAAGAAACTACAGCGCCTCGTGACATTCATCACTTTTTTTTTTCTTCGAATGCGCTGCTTTTTTCAGTGGGATCGTGCACGCACGCGTGGACAAGTAGCGGCCTCCCATGGCTATCTCGGTAACTTGATTTTTTCGGTCACAGACGCACAGACGATTTTTCGCTCACAACCAGTGGAGCCGACGCCGGCGGCGGGTTTTCGGCGACACGAGCTTTTTATCGCTATCGCATTAAGACTCGAAGGAAGCTACTGCTGTCGGGGGTCACCACGCACCATGGTTCATTAATGAGACACATGTATATGGACAGTATAAGTACGAGCGCTAGTAAGGTTGCCGACATCTAAAACTTGACTGAAAATTATGAAGGGGTCTTTTTGACGTTGCTACGGCCGTGCAAAATAACAAATGAAAAGGTGTCGCAGCTTTTTTTCGTCGGATGCTAGTTTCCTATGGTACTGGTATACGAATTTCGGATTATACGAATATTCTTGGTCTCACGGGACGCCAAAAATATTCGTATCACCAAGGATTCTCTATAAAACGAGTTCAGGATGACATCTGAAGTTTCTGGCACTGTAGGTCTTGCAAGTCTCATCTTTGGACTGAAATTTCATGTTTTAACAGAAGCCACCGTCACTCCCGCATAGGAACAGATTTCAAAAGCCAACTTTGTCGCAATCCTAGAACGCTATGCGACGAAGCGTACCGCAAGTTTGAAGGGGGGGGGGGGTATGTTTGGGTTGTAGCCGTTAGGGGTTGTAGGTTGTGGGCTGGGGTTTATCACCTCAAATTTCTCTGTTTGAAATGAGAGCACACTACGTAGACGCGATAGGATAGACCAAAACAAGCGCTTACTACCTACTGAATGTTTATCAGAAAGCTTGTGAAGTATACACTGACACATGAAACGATTTCGTAGCCACACACAATGAGACCAAATCGCAAACAAAAACAACAAAACAGATAAAATATATGTTTTCCATGTATCACCAACCCACACAATCAGCCACATCAAATTCCTCCTTTTCTTTTTTTATTTTCAAGGATTTCACGTTCGATTAGCTTTTGGCATGGGCACCCCAACAGGCTTAATTCATTGCTGTAACCCATAATACGGCATGCGTGCATTGCTGTTGGCGGGTTATTTCCCGGCAGTAAACATACAAACGTCGACGGTGCAGCAGTTTCTCATTGTTATGAATGATATATTGTTAACGTAAGTCTAAAGAGAAACAATGGCTTGGTTTGTATTGACAAAGTGCAACTTTCATGCCACTTGCTTCACTATCACAAGTTTATTATTAGCGGAGAAAATGAACGTTGAAGTTTCGCTTTTAAATTTGGCGTTGAAACTTGCGTGCGTGACATCTAAAATTTCAAAGTATACGTTTAGTACTTTCCCGACAATGGCTCGACGAATTATTATGAGCTTTTGCATGCTAGGTATGTGGCACCCACAAATATCGATGTGTATCATATTTATCAATTAGAAGCTACGTAATACCCAGTAGACACCTTTGAAATCTATGTCGTCACGGTGTTTAGTGTGGAAGTATAAATCTGGCGTCTCCATTAACATTTTTTTCTCGTGCGTTTTCCCGCTTATCAAACGTCGTGTCGTGGTAAGAGTAGTGTTTCCATGATTGTGAATTGTACTTTACTAATGCACGAATGATCATTATGATCTTTAGTGTCCCTTTAAAGTGGTATTGTTATAAGTGGGTTCGACTTTATACGCAGTTGCTAATGATTTGCTAGGTTAGAGTGCGAAGTAACAACTACTTCAAGCAAAGCTGCGAATAAACAAAATATTTTAAATATCAGCAGGGTAACAGAACTTTGTACTATAACGTTTTAACAAGTCTAAATCACATACCATTTGTCGCTAAATTATGTATCATTGGTGACTTCCCATTTCAAGAAGGAACATCTACTTTGATGTTACAATGAACTCATCGATGTCTACAATGCGTCAAATCAACAAGTACTACCATATTTGCCTGAAGTTGCCTTGTTAGTAAATTGCAGAACTTCAACATATTAGTTACTGTGCAAGCTGCATGATAATCACCGTTGTTGCTGCTCTCGTTATTTGTTAGAAAAAAAAGAACGGTGTAGAAATATACGTGTATATTGCACTTTCCACCTGCTGTGGCCTGATCTTGGAGCGACAGCATTTAAAATAAATATATAATAAGGAGGATGCGAAGTTCTTACTTATAAGCGATGGCAGGGTAATGATTGTGCAACGCGCATTAGTACTCATAAGCAATGCATATTACGTGTTTATCGCACTAAATTGTGGCTCTCACCTCAGACAGCTCTTTGGGGGTGCAGTGCACGACGAGAGTCCAGCTGCGCAGGTCTCTGGTGTCGCCGTTGCAGGAGGCGCAGTACACGTTCCTGTACAGTGTCCCGGTGAGGCGGCTCAGCACCGGCAGATCGTCCAGGTACGTGAGGTTGAAGTGGCGCGGGTTCGCACTCTCGCACCGCGCTCGCGTGTCGTTGTCCCTCGCATCAGCCGGTGTCCACGCTTCGGGACAGCGGACGACGGCCGTCAGTTCCCGGTCGGAAACTGCGGGAACGCAGGCGATCCTCGGCCTGGGAACCTCCCCGATGAAACGGTCGGCGCAGCAGTCGCCCGACTGCGAGCACTGCTCGGGAGAGCGACACTTGCACATTCTCGGCTTGTCCGTCGCACTGCACCGGTCCGTACAGTTAGGTCCGTCGAGTCCAAGCCTGACGCGATCGGCGAGAAGCAGCTCCGGCGTTATAGATGCAGTCCACGGCTCACCGGCGGCTTCTATGTGCGCCCCAACGATTGAGAACCCAAGAACAACGAAGGCTAGAAGAAAGTCTACCGCTGTGGCGGTCACTGCAGCCATCGTCGTGGTGTGACCTGCGACTGAGCCCTGTGAAGCGGTTGTAGCCACCAGGACTGCGGTGGTTGCAGCTCCGGTCCACGTGCGACCCCGGAGCGGTGCGGCGTTGGCGGTTTGCGGTTGCCTTTTTTACGGTGCCACGCCGCCACTGCTACAGCCAGCCTTGCGGGCTTCGCGTCGGGCGTTTGTTTATTTTGCTGCCGTCGCTGCCTCTGCGGTCGGAAGATTGCACCGACGGCCGTGGCGGGGCCCATATGGTTCCGCGTAACCTCCATGAGCATCGTCCGTCCGGGCTATGATGGTGAACTGCGTTCTGAGAGGAGGTTTCATTGGAGCCCCGACACTCTTCCAGCTACTGGTTTCGGAGACGCCTGCAAATAAAAAAAAGGCGAGCGCGTAATAATAAGCCTGATGACGGGGCAATTGAAGACTCATCTCGGCAGCCTCCTACGCGCTGGGCAAGTAGGCGGCGTTGGGGTTAATATATCGAGCAGTGCTCTTTCTCGAGACTAAGGCGAAGATCGCTGGCGTCAGTTGTAAAACACAACCGGAAAGAAGAGCGTGGCGTATGGCTAGTAACAATGCGTGCATCTAAAGTTTGATCGTAAAAGAGGACCGGAAGTTGCCAGCGTCGACGCAAGTCATAAACGTGGTGAGAGAAAGGTAAGAAAGTTCAAAAAGGATGAGCTAGGCCAAGCTATACAGCTACCATTGGTCTCTGCATCATCGACGTTGAAAGGGTTCTAGATCATTCCGAGAGCCGGCATATTGGAGCAATAATCCTCGGAAGGAGATAACAGATTTCAGGGCATCGGCATATAGCTGAGAGTGAGCGATGAGGGTTACGTTTTCACGGCAGATGGTTTATTGCGCGTTGATCAGTAATGATACCCTCATCCACGTTTACTACAACGAAAAGAATTGACGCTGCAGGATCAGCAATTTGCTATACTAACTGTATGAAAAGTCTACAATGCTCGCTCGGGCATCCCTTCATCGATGGAAGCGCACCATGCTGTCAGGAGAAAGATTTCCCGCAATTGACTTAGGGGAAACGGTGCCTCAGGTGCTTTGCCACACCTGAAGCGAATTGAACGTGTTCGTGGAATGCGTCTCCGGCGTGGATGCGTACTCCTCGAACGAACTGGACTGCCTCGGCAGTCGACGTTGAAACAGCGAAGGGCGCATTCATCGGTATCACGAGACTCGCGTTGGCAGCGATCGTGGAGTGTTCCACGCAACTGATCGAGTCGGCTGTAAAACCGGTCACTCCCGTCATCTACTGAAGTTGGCAAGTCCATCAGCACCACATCGTCCCCCGACGAGCACCAGGAGCTGATATGGTCCGTATATGCATTACTTTCTTTTTCTTGCCGCTGCTTAGTTACAAACAAGCTTTAGTGTAATAGTGTGAGCTGTAACGCAAGGCTCAGAAGCGGGCGCAGAATTTTTCTCATAATTCTTCGTCTTTCATTTGTGTCTATCTTGTCCAGTTATTTATTTAACTTACCACAATGTCTGCATTTCTTGTACCTGTAGCTATTCATTGAATTTATGCTTTCATGCGGGTTGTTTTGTTTCCGCACATGTCTTGTTTTCTTTTTAGTTGATTTTGATACCTCTTACCATTGCCCTCGTTCCAATTTATTTATTGCTTATTTTGTTCTCTAAGCTAATGTCCACGTCTGCTCACTAAGTCTATCAGTCAACCCGAACATTACCAGACGTGCAACCCCACATGGATCTGCCGGTCATGAAAAGCTTTAGAAACAAGGCGCAAAGGTCCCATAGGCACTCTTGCGACTAGTTTGGCGAGTGAAATTTCTCGTCTAATCATGCTGAAGACAATCTAAATTGTATATGTCATTATAACAATTAGAACTGATTCAAATCAAAAGAAAAAAAATTGTTCTAGCGAATAACACCAAATAGCGCACAGCCTCAGCATTTCAGTAGCAACGTGGACAGGGTTGTCGGCTGCACTGCACATTTGTCTTCACGCTAATTTTCTAAACGCTGCGAGCTGTCTGTCAAGCATACCGTGAAACTGGCGTCGACTTATTTTGAAATAGCTCTATTCTCCCTAACAGGCTTCTCTGCCAGTGTTGGAAGTGCGCAAACCTTACGTTCAAACTGTGCACTCTCGGCTGCGGATGTGTACCATGACTGTACTGCCATGTACTGTCAGCGCAACTGCCGGACACGCAGAAACACCTGCGTCATTCGCTGCTGTCACTTCCGATAATGTAGGAGTAGAATAAAGAAGCGCCCCCACGAGAGCGGAACCAGATGGAAGAGCAACACACGTAGTAGCTTGCGCGCGGTGACGATTCTTCAAGGTGGCGGCGCGACACTTTCCCGCCAAACATGGCGCAGAGAGTAGCTGCAGTTATGCCCGAATGTTTTACATGAGTGCATACGTTACAAACGGATTCTGCAGTGAAACAAAGTTTTAAAATAGGAAGACGCTTCAGCGTCGCCTTCAGGAGTACGACGCGATTGAGTAATCCAACCCCACGCGCACCACCTTCAACCGTCCCGCAATCAAATGAACGTTCCTGCGCGTAGGAACGTTCCTGCGCCGTTTAAAAGTGTCCTAGAGGGCACCGAGATCGGGTTCGTTGGTACTGATCCATAACCTCTGTATGCGCGAAAGAAACGTGCTTACGTATGACAAATGTCTACTACCAGAGTCCTTCAATACTTTTGCAAGTCATGAAGCTTCGCCGTAACTATCTAGGAGAGCACGGGAGAGCTTTGTGCACTGCAAGCGGACACGACGAGTCAGCGCTGCCTCCTCATCAGGAGCAGAGGGCAGGCGGCGGCCGCATACCGTGGCACGTGCCCACGAGTTCTTCATCGTATCTTCGGTGTTGTGCGTGTTCTGCCTGAAGATCGAAAAGGATGCTGTGTTAGCGGGAGCGAAGTGACAAAAGAAAATGTAAGTTCTGGCTGCCTAGACAGCGAATGGTGGGTTCACACCAAGAGACCGGTGGTTTCACATTTGACTCCCCTCAATCGGGTGTGGGCGAAAAGCACTTCGATGAGAGTGAGATAGTTCGCGTGAATCAGTGTACAATCGGACGAGTTGTCGTGAAGACGCGGCGCGATGCTCTGAAACGTTTGCTGGACGCTGTGCCGGGGATTTTCCACGGTTTTCCGGCGTATTTGTATAGTGCAAGAAGGTACAGGGCTCGCGCGCCGACCAAGTGTCACCGGGAACCGTCAGCTGAGCTGAAGACTGCCGAGGATGCATCGACACTGTGCATGAGCCCCTTTGACGCAGCTGCCGTGGATAATGACACTGGTAATGCAGGCGAGCATATTGGCCGCATCTCTCTCGTTGCATGTCAGTAATAAAGAAGTTCGAGGAGCAAAATGCTCGCTGTTTTTTATACAGGCAATGAGATGACCAAAAGTGTAGAGGTGAAATGCCAAACAGATGGAGCTAAATGCAGCTCTTCACAGCCTGAAAAAATCTTAGCATACATACATTGCTTGGAACAGAAACTTGAGCGCTACCAATGAAGGTTGCTAGGGTGAAGGCGCAAGAATGGATGCACAAACACACACACACACACACACACACACACACACACACACACACACACACACACACACACACACACACACACACACACACACACACACACACACACACACACACACGCGCGCGCGCGCGCACGCACACACACACACACACACACACGCACACACACACACACACTACTCATAGAAAACTTGCGGGGGCTGTAAAAGTGTGAAAAGGTCATTTTCGATATTGATGTATCTTGAGCACGAGAACATGTGCGTCCTGAGCACGAGCTCTTTTTTCCTACGGAGCCTAATCAAGCACTGGAGTAGCCCTGTAGTAGAACACCTCCTTTTCATGGATGTAAAATGCTTGAGCTTGATTCTCGAGTAGACCACAGGTTCCGATTATCTATCAAAGTCTAACCGAATTTTCTCTCACTGATAAAGACGATTTTTAGCTCACAACAAACAACGTCAGAACTAGAATTTTTGCTAAACAAGCACTGTAATGCTGTCTGGTTAATAGTTATAGAGTTGATTAATTTCTTCACTGCGGCAACTTCGGGCTTCGAGTTTGCTTCGTAGCTACTGCTTCATGAGAACGAGAGTACTCGAAGTCACCGCTAATGGAGATCGCCATACTTCCTTCGCGAAAACCCCTATTTCACTCTTTTGGCAAAAGGGAGAACGTGTGCCACGAAAAGTGCTTCCCTCGACATAAATACGAAGGTGTTGCACGTCGTTCTCTGGTGTCCACGTGACGAAAATATTATATCAAATTTATGATAACTACTTGAAAGATTCGTTCGCATAACGATTCTTTTTTCCCGCAGACAGCGATAAACTGGAACAACCTCCGCAGCTCCATAGTTCAAGGCCATTCAGTATCACCATTTTTATTCATTGTGATGACTGAAACTTGACTGCTCATTTTCATAGCGATTGCGTGTATTTTTATCTGTGCTTCCTGATTCTTCGCTTCATTCGCACGTTTGATAAGTGCGTTGTTCAATGACTGAGCCTGAATTTGACGTTACTCGAGTGTATTTTTTCTGTAACACTTGCATGCACACATATTTTAGTACCATTATGTAGTTTTTTTTCATATGTTGTGTTTCGCCCTGCTAAAACCGGGGTAGGCATGTAGTACCAATAAATCAAATGGAAATCAAAGCAACTGCTCGTCACATATTTCGAGCGATGTTTGCGTGTTTAGAGAAAGTGGGTAACGATTTAGACTAGGTACTCTACTATGGGAGAGCTTAAACCCGTCCCGTGGAAATACATGTTTGTGGGTTCAGAAAAAGTGTTGAATGATTTAGAGTAGAAGGTATTCTACCATGAGATAGCTTAAATCCGTCCCGTAGGAATACATATTTGTTTAGGAAAAAATAGTTAGCGATTTAGAGTACTTCGTACTCTACTATAAGAGGGCCTAAAGACGTCCCTTGGATCCCCCAAAACTACGTATTTGCGTTTAGAAAACATTATTTACAGTATGTACAGAACACAAATGCTTCATAAAATTCTAGTAACAGGGCACGTACACTTCGGCACATCTATGTATCACGACCAACATCACTACGTTGCAGTGAAGACATTTGCCGCAATATACATGACAATGTTGGCATACATGTACACAAGAACTCAATGCGATAACATGGTGCAGTGGTATAACTATACCATATATGCAATGAAACACGATTTGTAACAAATGAAATTATATATAACAACTCAACGGGCACTACTTAGCACTAAGTCAGTCGAAAAATGAGTTGTATCCTTTCATGTTCAACCTTGACGAAAGGGCACGACCAATGCCGCAGAAACTCATGCT